ATAATGTTTTGCTTCTGACTTCTTTCTCTCAGCACAGTGCCATATCCACTTTTTATAGAATTCTTTTTATAGATGGGTCGTCAACTGTTTAGTGTTGTTGTTACAATTTGTTCATCCATTCACTTGTTGATGGATAGTCGCATTTGATATTCTTTACCATGAATAAAGTTGGATTCAGCATTTGCATACACATCTGTGTGGATATATGTTTGTGCTTTCATTTTGGGTAAATAAAGTGATAGCTGGATTGCATACTTAATGTTTTAAGATATAGCCAACTTATTTTCCAAACCACCTGAAAATTCATATTCCTAGCAATTGTGTACCACAGTCCCAGTAGACACGCCTCACTACATTTATGTCAGTTATTTTTATCTGAAGACATCCCGACTCATATAATTGTCTTCAGTAAATCTTCCTTGATGAAGCAGCTTTTCAAATGTTTTGCACATTTGAAAAAGGTAATCCTCTTCTCATTGAATTGTAAGAACTTGTTATACTTCTTGATTTCAAGTTCTCCTTCATATGCTTTGCAAATATTTTTACCAATCTATGTTTTGCCTTTTCATTTTGATAATAGTGCATTTAGAAGAACAAAATCTTTAAAGTTTAGTGAAGATAACTTAATGATATTTTTCATTCATAGCATGCATGTTTATGTGGCCTGTTTAAGAATCTTTTGCTCAACTTAAGATAGTAAGATTTTCTCCATATTTTTTAAAGTTTTTATAATTTTCACTCTTATGTTTAGATCTCACATCTGTATTAAGCTGGTGTCGTAATTAGTGTTTCTATTGCTGTGAAGAGACACAACAACTCTTATAAAGAAAGCATTTCATTGGGTTGTGATGGAGGAGGGTCATCTTTCTATCTGTTGATTTCATTGGTTAAGCAATAAAGAAACTGCTTGGCCCTCATAGGTTAAAATATAGGTGGGTGGAGTAAACAGAACAGAATGCTGGGAGAAAGATGCTGAGTCAGGGAGTCACCATGATTCTCCTACCGGACACAGATGCAGGTTAAGATCATTCCTGGTAAGCCAGCTCGTGGGCTACATATATTATTAGAAATGGGCTAGTCCAGGTGCGAGAGTGAGCCGAGAAAAGGCTGGAACTAATGGGCCAAGCGGTGTTTAAAAGAATACAGTTTCCGTGTAATTATTTCGGGTAAAGCTAGCCGTGCGGGCGGCAGGGTGCCGGGAACGTAGCCACATCGCTCCTATTTCAACAGGGTTGGTTTGCTTATAGTTTCAGAGGTTCAGTCTGTTATCACCCTGACAGTGAACATGGTGACCTGCATGCAGCGTGGTTCTAGAGTCCTACATCTCGCTGGCAACAGGAAGGAGACTGAGACACTGGGCAGTATCCTGAGCATAGGAAACCTCAAAGCCCACCCCCACAGTGACACACTTCCTCCAACAAAGCCGCACCTCCTTATAGTGCCACTCCCTATACAACTGTGGTGGCTAATAACATTCAAACTGCCACAGCTAGTTTTGTTAGTTTTGCTTTTCTCATTTGGCCATCCAGTTGTTTTATTGTTTGACAACATACCATCCCTTCTACCTCTGCCTTACCTTGGGAAATTGTCAGCGAGTGTATATACTGATTTACTTGTGGTTCATGCTTTTGTTCCATTGGTCTCTGTGTCTATCCTGACACTATTATCATACTTGTAACGGTTGGTCTTGCTTGTCAAACGGACAGGATTTAGAGTTACCTGGGAGATACACATACGGGTATGGTTTTGTTGGTGTCTCCTTAGACGTTTAACTGAGGAGGGAAGACCCACCCTGAACATGAGCAGCACTGGCACATGGGCTAGACTCACAGACACAATTACAGAGGACAAAGGAGAAAGGTAGCTGCACTCATCTCCCTGCTTCCTGCCTGGACACATGTGACCAGCTGCATTGTTCTCTCGTCATTCATGCCATGTTTTCCCCACCATGATGAGGTCCCTTTGCATTTTGAAATAAAATAAAGTTTTCCTTATGTTACTTCAGTAACATAAAAAGCAATGAGAAAAGTGAACAATACATTCCTACTTTGATTAAAAAGGTTTTTTGGAGAGTCTTAAAACTGGGCATAAGTTGTCAAATTTCATTCCTTTTCAAAATGTTACTACCACCTATTTTAGTATGTAATTTATTTTTGTATGTCTATGTCCATATGGGCATCAATGGGTTCAAATCGTATTTAATCCATTTTAAAGATACTTTCAACCCTCAATCCCAGCACTTGGGAGGCAGAGACAAGAGGATCTCTGTGAGTTCAAGGCCAACCTTGTCTACATAGAGAGTCCTAGAACTGCCAGGGGTACAAAGTGAAACAGAGACAACTTCGGGGTAAAAAGATATTTAACCCTTCAACAATATTGAATTTAAATTTCCAAACATGATATTAATTTCTATTTATTTGGATGTCATTTAATTTATTTCAGCAATGTTCAAGAGTATATCTTATATCCTATGTATACCTGATTTTTTTAGTTTTGGAAATACTATAAATGGTGTTGTTTTATTGTTTTCAATTTTAATCTCTAGTTGCTTGTTGCTAGAATATAGAAATAAATGTTTACATTTACTTAGTACTCTACAATGTCATTAAGATGAACTAGAATTCATAATAATTTTGTTGTTGTGTGGATTCTTCTGTGGATACAATTGAGTCATCTGCACAAAAATGTTACAAGTGATAGGACAGAAGTCTGACTTTAGGGGGCCCAGAAAACCAGATTCAGTCACATGTAGGCTAAGAGCAAGGTGTACTGCAGTGTGACATGAACTCATTCAGTGTGGGCACACTATGAAGAAAAGGAAGGACCAGGTTATTAAGATTTGTCCTGGAGGGACCAGCATCCTATAACCTGTTCTAGAGGGACCAGTTTTATAAATCCTGCCCTGGAAGGACCAGCATCTAGTCCCTGTGATGGAGGGACCATCAGCCTAAGCCTTGCCCTAGAGGGGATAACATCCTATGCCCTGGGCTGGAGAGACCAGCATTCTAAGGCCTTCCTGGAGGGACTATCATCCTAAATCCTGTCCTAGAGAGATCAGAATCCTAAACCCTGCCCAGAAGGAACCAGTATCCTGAGCTCTGAGTTGGAGAGACAAGCATCCTAAACCCTGAGCTGCAGGGACCAGAATCCTTAGCCCTGAGCTGGAGCGACAAGCATCCAAAGCCCTGCCCTAGAGGAACCAGCTCCCTAAGACTTGCCCTGGAGTCACTGAGAAGACTTACAGGGTTCTGTAGAAGAAAGGCAACGAGGAAAACAAAATTATACTTAGTGGTCATACTGTTCCTGATTGACCATTATCTCAAGTCTGACTCTATGAAGTCCTGTTGGTGTCTTTTTTTCTTCAGTTGCCAGAGGGACAAATTCTGTCTCATCAAGAGAAATCTGTCTACAGTCTCCCTGTTCCAGGAACCTGAGATAACTGGGGAGAAATGACTCAGACAGAGATCATGCAAGAGGGGGAAACGGAGTTAGTTTGGATAATGACTAAGTCCCTTTTATTTCTCTTACAGGAGTCCCCGTTACAAAGGCAGTTTTAATAATAATCTGAACACATGTGTCTGTTTACTTCTATATCTCCCCGAGGCAATATTAAGTAGAATTGGTAAGTGTGGCTACTGCTTTATTCTTCTTAATCTAAGAAAAAAAAACACTGAGAATTTTACCATTCAAGTGAGCATAGCATACATTCAGAGGTGTTCTTCATGTTCACTAAGTCATTAATATTTTCTAATTGTGAAGTGGTTATGAATTGTTGTTCACGCCTCCCATCTGCATGTGTTTACTACACTAGGCTTGGGACTGGAATGTAAGTTGAAGTATCATAATCTATTATATATTCCTGTTGAAACACACCTGAACACAATACCTATGCTCAGTCTGCAGCACCTCTACCAGGACACACACACAAACACACATTTATTGAGCTCATGATTTCAGGGGCACAAGGATCCAAACAACTTATAGCTAACAGCAGCACATCTTGTGACAGGGTCCTTTGGCTGCATTACAAATGGCAGAGAAGTGGAAAGGAAGAGCTGCAGGCAGAAAGGGCATTTGTGTGAGCAAGGAAGCAAGAAAGTGGCGAAATATCAGGCTCCCTTTTAAAACAGTGTGAATCCATGGGAATTAATTCATGCAAACTTGACTCACTCCTGAGAGACAGCATTCATTCAGGAGGGTAGAACACAGACTTGATTACCTTGATTCCAGCCCTCTCTCTTAAAGGTTTCTCCACCAAACCAAAACCAAGTTGCCGTACCAAGATTCAAGCCATATTCTAATGAAAGCATTCAGCATGGGGTACTGAGTCCAAGGGCAGAATGACATTAAAAAATACGACAGAGAAGTATGAGGTTAAAGAGTCTTACATCCTCTTAGAGACTGTTTCTTCAGAAGGTTAGATACTATTTTTTTCCAAATCTCATTAATAACTCTCTGAGTTTTCCAGTTAGAGGCTACTTAGGCATTCTGCATATTCCCACGATGCACAAGGGACCGATAATAGAATGGATAGTGCTTTGTTTAGATTGTTTCGCTATCATCAAAATGACAAACACTAAGAAAACTCAGAATAGGCATGAGATGAATGGATGAAGACAGCTGCTGGAGTGGGAAGAAGCCCAAGAGGAGGGCAAAACAAGAAAGGAGGATAGAGGGAGCCTGAGATGCATTGACATTGTCATTGATGATGCCGGTGACAAGCACCAAACCACTAAAATTCTGTTCCCTTATATTATTCTTTCTTCCGTAAGGATGGTTACAAACAAGTACTTGACATGAAATTATGCTTTGAATTATTTTGGCGAGTATGACCAAGACCTATTTCAGAGGACTAGGTGTTTGTTCTTTTCACACTCCACCTCTCCAAGTCAGGACCTCTCCTGAGACTCTCCAGCCTATGGCCCTGCAGGCCAGCGTTCTCTGAAGTATCCTTTATAGGGGACGATTGCGGAGGAAAGTTAATAGACACACATCAGTACTGCAGCCACAAGCACCAGCAGCAGCAGCAGCAGCAGCAGGAACAGCAGCAATTCCAGGAGCTTGAGAACCACGAGGCTAAATATGTGCCTTTTTTTAGAACACAGTAGAAGTCTGACATACAAACGAGCATGATGGATTTGCAAAAGAATAATACAGAGTATTGTATGTATCACTAAAATCGAGAATAAAACAGACTTCTGGACATTGGGCCCATTGGAATGAAGTAGTATGATGAAATTACCAACAGAGTTCAAGACCGTAAACATAGACTTAATTTTCATCTTTTCCCCTCAATGTACAACCCTGAGGGTGTTTGTTTAAAATTTGTGAGTCTCTGTTTCTTCATCAGTATAAATATCACATTCAGATTAAACACATCTGTAGATCTCAAATCACCTAGTCTGTGTCTGTAGTCAAATAATTACAAATTCTCCTTTTAATTCCAAGCATGATGTCTGTTAAAGTGAATTTTAAATACCCTTTATTAATAGCGCAATTAATATAATTATCATTTGTTATCAGTAACTCACCAAGATGAAAAATGTATAGGGGCATGGAAAGATGACTCAGATTAAGAGCACTTATTGCTCTTGTAGAGGACCTGGGTTCAGATCCCAGCACCCATACGACAGGTCACAGCCATCTGTCACTCTGAGCTCTGAGGGCATCTGCATGCAAGCATGCATATACTCAGGCACACACACATACATGTAAAATAAAAAGGATTTCAAAAGTAAATATAAAAGAGGAGATAAATTTTTGCAAGAAATAAAGAAGACAAGAGCCACCACTATAGATAGTTCATGTGTGTTTAACAAGAGTAATCAACTTCTGTTCACATTATGAGAACTCTAGGTCCTGCCTGAGAGACAGTAGCCTGGTCCTTTGGGAGAATAGTTTATAAGTTCAGACTGGACTAAAGCTGACTGACCCATCCTAGACCATCAAGGCAATTTTGGTAAAGCGCAACAATTTCGGAAAGGGAACTGCTACTTTGAAGCAGTAATGCACGAGGCCAAAGGCACCCCACTCAGTTGGGGTTCTCGTCTCATTTCCTGGACATTTGGCCTTGGACATTTAATGAAGGCTTATGCTGGGTCAGATTCTCTTTTCGACTTCTCAGCTCTTAGTTGCCAGTGCACAGAGTAAATGTTTGATCTTGGCCTCATTGTCCAAAATTGCCCAATTTCCAAATTTTCACGATTTGTACCCTTATAAAATCCTGCTACTAATTGCGCGTGTAATGGCTGAGATTAATTCATGTGACTTAAAATTCTCTGACCTCAATCCTAAAGCTCTTGATTTGTTCATTACCACTTGTTCTCTTCCTTAAGAGGAAGGCTTTAATCCTTGCAACTTTATTTTTTAATTAATTAATTAAAGATTTCTGCCTCCTCCCCTCCACCGCCTCTCATATCCCTCCATAAAAAATCCTTGCAACTTTAAACCAAGGCATCTGGAACCCAGTCAGCTCCCTTTGTGAAGGAGCCAGATTGAGAAGCTTACCACGAGGTGGCGCTAAAGACCCAGCAGAAGCCGGTGGCTGGACGACAAACCGCACTGTATTTTCCTATGTTCACCAGCATGCCTGGGATCTTAGGAGAAGTTTTGGCTTGAGTCTGATGGAGTCTGGTGCAACAGTCTTTCCACGGTGCTCGGCATCTAGCGAAAAGTTCTTGAGCTTTGCAGTAGCTTTCCAACATCTTTACAAGATCGTGAGTGACCCATTTTCCTGCCTCTCCTCCCTTTTCTTCAGTTCCCAAGTCTGGGGGCCCAACTGATGCATCTTCACTCACTCGTGTGAGTATCTACAGCCCGGAAGTATGTGTTATCCATGTAGTCAGGAGTTTGATCTCAGAATCCAGGTCTTCAGTTATTTGTGGTTTTTTAACCTGTCATTGGAAGGAGACTCGGGTATCATGGAGTAAGGGTGTGCTCAGGCCATGCTCTTGGGAAATAGGATTCTGGGAGCTGAGCTGTGCTCAGGAAAGGGGCATAGGGAAAGTTGTGATTCTTGTATTCATGACCAGTCTACAATCCATCCTCTGCCAATACACACTATCTGCATCCACAATTCATCCTGCCAATATGCACTATCTGCATCCACAGTCAATTCTTTGCCAGTATGCACTATCTTCACCCACAATTCATCCCTGCCAATATGCGCTATCTGCATCCACAAACCATCCTCTGCCAATGCACACTATCTGCATCCACAATTCATCCCTGCCAATATGCACTATCTGAATCCACAATTCATCCTGCCAATATGCACTATCTGCACCCACAGTCCATCCTGCCAATATGCGCTATCTGCATCCACAATCCATCCCTGCCAATATGCGCTATCTGCACCCGCAGTCAATACTTTGCCAGTATGTACTATCTGCACCCACAGTCCATCCTGCCAATATGCGCTATCTGCATCCACAATCCATCCTGCCAATATGCGCTATCTGCATCCACAATCCATCCTGCCAATATGCGCTATCTGCATCCACAATCCATCCTTTGCCAATACACACAATCTGCATCCACAATCCATCCTGCCAATATGTACTATCTGCATCCACAATCCATCTTCTGCCAATACAGACTTTCTGCATCCACAATCCATCGTCTGCCAATATGCACTATCTGCAGGAAGCCTTGGGATATTTCTATTAATTCATTTACACTAAACCTCCCTTTTATCCTTGTTTTTTCTTCGATGCAGTTCTCGGACATTTAACTTAATTCTAAGGCAAGATAGTCTCTGGTCATTTTTTTTTCAAGGAAAAGTTTTTGGGAATGCATTTCTAAATATTTCTAAATTGGAATATAATATTATTCAGCAACAAAACAAAATGAATTAGGGCTGAAGAGACGGCTCAGTCAGTCAGGTGCTTGCCATGTGTCTTAGTTGGGTTTCTATTGCTGTGATAAAAAAAAAAAACATGACGAAAGCGACTTGGGGGGAAAGCCTTGTGCTCAACATGAGAGCTCATCATCGAAGGAAGTCAGGACGAAACCCATGCAGGGCAGGAACCTGGAGGCAGGAACAGTGCACAGGCAGAGCAGAGGGCTGCTTCCTGCTCGCTCCCCATGGTTTCCTTCCTTCCTTCCTTTCTCCCTCTCTCCCCTCTTCAACATTTTTCAAGATTTATTTATTCTTTTTTATGTGCAGTGGTGTTTTGACTGTGTGAGAGTGTCAGGTCCCCTAGAACTGAAGTTACAGGCAATTGTGAACTACCATGTGGGTACTGGGAATTGAACCCGGGTCCTCTGGAAGAGCAGACGGTGCTCTTAACTGCTAAGGCATGATGACTATAGCTTGTGTCAAACTGACATTAAACAATCCAGCGCACCATGTGTTTGGGTCCCCAACTATGTTAAAATAAAATTGACCACAGTGGTGTGTAGCTGTAATTCTAGTGCTGGGGAGGGGGAGACAGGAGAATATCTGGAGTTCCACGGCCAGCTGGTCTTGCTGTTTCAGTGAGTGACTCAGAAATAAGATGGAGAGTAATAGAAGACATCCAGCATCCACCTCCTCCGACCTCCACAGGTGCTCCTATAGACATGCACACACACACACACGCACGCATGCACATGTGCACACACACATGCATACATACACACATGCACACACACACACATGCATGCACTCACCCACGTACAGACTTGGTAGGGGTGGGCTGTCAAACTTGCAATGAGGAGGCAAGGGGGAACATTGAATGGGTACTGTTAGGCGAATGAGCCAATCTGAAAGGGCAACATTTTGCGGGATTCTGACTTCTTGGCGTTCTGGAAAAGGAAAGCCATGGAGATGGAAAATGAGCACGGGTTGCTGAGCTCCAGATGAAGGAAAAGGACATATGAGAAACACCAGGGAATTCTAGGGCAGTGAAACTGCTCTCTTTGTTACAGATTTATCAAAACCCATGGAATGTACAACACAGAGTGATGTCTCTTGTCAACGATGGTCTTTAGGCAACAAAAGTGTACCAACCCTGGCTGCCAATTACAACAAAGTGATGCAGGAGAATTGGTGAGCTGACAGATAGGTGTTCTCAGTATCTTCTGCCCTATATTATGGTAAATATAAAACTGATAAAAGTAGACTCTCTAGCAAACGGCACCAACAACTAGGGTCCAAGTTGAACCTAGGGAAATTTCTCATTTAAATCCCCGCAATGCACAAGGTAAGACTGGCACATGGAGACACAAATGTGTGATCAGAGGACGCCTTGTGATGAGGAAGCAGACCCTGAAGTGCTATTTCTACAAACTGAGAAAGGCCAAGGAACTCAGAGGAGGCGTGGCCCTGCTGAAGCCTTGACTTCACCTTTCCAACCCATACAACTTGAAAAGGAGTTCCTGCTGTTTTAGCCTTGCGGTTGTGGTTGGACAAATACAGTTCTCATCTGACCAGATGTTCATCCTAAAGACCTCCTCAATCCCCGTGGTTAAGAACCATTTACTGTTAGGCTGCACAGTAAAGCTAAATTGGCAGACAGTAGTTCAATCCAAATCACGTAGCAAAGAAAACAGTTCCTACTTTTTCCATATTCACTTTCCATGTCCATAAACCAGAATCTGTCTGCCCTTGTTCTGGGGATGACAGAGGTGAGAGGGAATGTGTGATATTAGTGGTCACAAAGCAATCAGGAAAGCAAGCTAACTTCTCCTGTGTGAGCCTCTAGGGACTATGGTCCAAAGCTCTGGGGTTTTCCATGGACCTTTTCTAAACGTTTGCCTCTGGCCTTATGTGCTGACTTAGAGATTAAACCTGAGTCAAGCTAATATTCCCAGGCCTGTTAGCTATGCCTTGTGTATGTTTACTTGGACTTGGATGTGAATGTCTCATACAAGGCATCTTCTCCTCCTCAACTGTCTCTTATGCTGTTCACAGACAATCTCAGGGACTACAGAAATTGCTCAGTAGTTAAGAGCACTGGCTGCTCTTCTAGAGGATCTGGGTTCAGTTCCCATCATGGCACCCACACGGCAGCTCACAGTCATCTGTAACTCCAGTTCCAGGTAATCTGATGTCTTTTCTGGCTTCCATGGACATCTGGTGCACACATAGGTCACATTTATACATGCAGCCACCCCCACTGACAAACACACACACACACACACACACACACACACACACACACACAAACCCTGGAAAAAAATAGTCTCTGGGAGTTCCTGTATTCAGTTTCTCCCCTACATCTAGTGTTACCATAACAACACAGACATTGTGATACTGTGGGGGAAGTAACCAGAAATAGCCTCAAAGTGATCCCTACTCACATTGGCCCCTATGGTGTCCATTTGCCACACGACAGCAGGTGTGTCCTGGCTATGCTGTTTAAAATACTGAAAACATCTCTCAATGCCCTTTGCATCATCTCTGAAAACCTTCCTGGGCTTGCAAGCTGCAGTGCCAACCCCTGGCCTGCTCCCCTACTGGGTGCTGGGTCACCTCCCACTGGCTTACCGCTATCCAGTCCGCCTGGCTCTTTTCCTTCCATATCAGACTCTTTCCCACCCAGTGCCTCTCTAGGCAGGGAGGACCTCGTATGCAAAGACATTTCCATGGACGGCTTCTCCTCAGCCTCGGGGCTTAGTGGGAACTCACCTTGTGGAAGGCATGCCTCCACTCCCTAGTCTTTCTTCGGAGTCTTACGCTTCTCTTGGCACCCTGTCCTTTCCTATGAGCACCGACTGCAGTTTGCAGTTAGACATTCAGGAATTAGTTTCTTTCTTTTTCTTCCTTTCCCCAGCTCTCCTTCCTTCCTTCCTTCCTTCCTCCCTCTCTCCCTCCTTCCCTCCCTCCCTTCCTTCCTTCCTTCATTTCTCCTTCCTTCCTTTTTTGGGACATGTTACATATTTCCCATACTGGCTTCTTAACTTGTTATGTAGTCAAGAATGACCTTGATCTTCTGATTCCCCCTGTCTCCATCTTTTGAGAGCTTGGATTATTGAGGTTTACCACCATGCCTGGTTTATGTGAAATATTGGGAGCAGAACTCAAGGTTTTATGCATGCTAAGCAAGCTCTTTCACATGAGCTACGTCACCAGATCCTATCAGTTTCTTATAAAATGTCTGCCTCATGGGGCCCTGCATCTTACCCAAGCTGTAAGTTTTTGGGGAATAGAGACATCACCTGTTCTTGTTCACCAGGGTACATTTAGTATTGGCCACATATTGGGAACTCTGAAAAATTAAAAACCAACAATTGTGACAGTTACTGGGAAGGACAAATCCATTTTTCTGAAGACAAGTATTAGCATGGATAGACATGGGCTGTGATTATTGGAGAGCTGGTCTGAGGAAGCTACGCTGATGTGCAGACCTGAAAGATTGTAACTGCTGGATAGGCCAAAGGATCAGGGCTGGGTAGAAAGTTCCTAGAGAGAACAGTGAGTGTAAAAGCCCCAAGCTTGAAAGGGATACAGCATGTGCTAGGTTCTGATCGACAGAGCTGAGAGAGCAAGGAGAAGATTCAGGAACAGGCTGGTTTAGGTGGGTCCTCAGGCTCTAAGGAGGTTGAACTGATGAGAAGCCATTTTAAGCTCAGAATGACATGAATCAGGTTTGTTAAACAAGACCATGTTGGTTTTGGATACTTTGTTATATTGGGATTAAGTGGGATGCAGCAAGGTATGTGTGTCTATATGGGGACTTAACGAAACTCATGGGAGGTATCCTGAGAAATTAAATAGATC